CATTGGATGTTTAAATCTTTCATATATTTTCTTCTGCAAAAAGTATTCTAGGAAAATGGATATGGTGCTATCTCAAAAAATTAAATACAGAATTACCACATGACCCAGCAATTACACTTCTGGGTACACATCCAAAAGAACTAAGAACAGGGACTTGAACACATATTTTTACAGCCATGTTCATAGCAGTATTATTCACAATAGACAAACGATAGAAATAACCCATGTCCATTGGCAGATGAATGGGTAAATAAAATGTGGTATATATACATATAATATTATTCAGTCTTTAAAGGAAGAAAATTCTAACACATGTACAACATAGACGAATCTTGAAGATCTTCAGCTAAGTGATATGTGCCAGTCATAACTTGGCAAATATTTTATGATTCCACTTATCTGAGATACCTGGAGTAGTCAAATTCATAGAGACAGAAAGTGGGATGGTGGTTGCCAATGGCTGATGGAGAGGAGAATGGCAAGTTACTGTTTAATGGGTATACAGTTTCAGTTTGGGAAGATAAAAAAGTTCTGGAGATAAATGATGGTAATGGTTGTAAAACAATATGAATGTGCTCAATACCATTGAACCGTACACTTAAAGGTAGTTAAAATGGTAAATTTTGTTACGTATATCTTATAACAACTAAAATTAAAAAGTGTTTTAAGTGTTCTACTTTTTAGATAGGCCTCCTTATTAAGAAATTTTTTTTATATGAGCTATTTTTTTCTTAAAAAAGGGTGGCCTTTGCAAAATCTGAGATAAGTATACTTTACCTTTGTCTTTTTCTTTGTTCTTGGACTTGTGGATATCCCAATATCTTCATACTATTCTCTGGAGTAGTACCATCAATTCCTCCCCTTAACATATCCCTCCAATTACTCATAGATTTTGTAAAACTAATTTACACTAATATATAAAAAGTTTCCATAATTTTTTAGTTCATTAATTCAAGGTAAGGCTGTTAGAATTTCAAATAGTATAAAATCTATAACTGCTTAAATCACTTAACTGCAATTCTCCCTTCCACATGTAAAACTAGTTTTGTTTTTTCCTTCAAAACAGATTTATCTATTACCATTTACTGCATGCCTCATGTATCAAGTCCTATACCAGCAGTTTTCTCATGGATAAGGCAAGTCACACAACCAGACAGAAATTTCCAGGAGAGACACCAACATTTGGATAACTATTACATACTAAACATTTTCATTATTTAATTGTTAGAATATCATTGTGAATTAGGTTTTACTATTACCCCATTTTTAAAGTGCAACAAAAAGTTACAAATTGTTAAGTAACTTGCCCATGGTATTATTCTTTCCATTTTTATATTTGTGGAAATTAAATCTTAAAGATACTAAAAAGTTCATACATCTTTTTATGAACTGAAGTCATAACATAAAGTAAGACCTAGATTCAAGGTCCAATCTCTTCATTTATACCACAGAATCCTGTATTATATAATACAATCCTGTTTCCGTGCCACATGCAATCTACACAAATTTGGGTTGCTGATTTTATTTAAAAAGCTTTGCTGTACAAGGCCAATATCTCTGATGAACCCAGATGCAAAAATTCTCAACAAGATACTAGCAAACTGAATCCAACAATACATTAAAAAAAAATTATTCACCACAATCAAGTGAGATTTATTCCTGGGTTGCAAGCGTTATTCAGTATGTACAAACCAATCAATGTGATATGTCCTAGCCACAGCAATCACACAACAAAAAGAAATAAAAGGTATCCCAAAATTGTAAGGAAGAAGTATAATTTTCACTATTTGCAGATAACATACTATATACAGAATACCTAAGGATTCCACCAAAAAACTGCTAGAACTGATAAATGGCTTCACTAGAGTCACAGGATACAAAATAAATGTATAGAAATACTTGCCATTCCTATATATCAACAATGAGGCAGGAGAAAGAGAAATTAAGAAAATAATCTCATTTATAATTGCACCCAAAATAATATATACCTAGGAATAAACCTAACCAAAGAGGTGAAAGATCTATACTTTGAAAACTATAAAACACTGATGAAAGAAATTTTAAAAAAAAGACAGAAAAACATTCCATGCTCATAGATTGGAAGAACAAACATTGTTAAAATGTCTATACTACCCAAAGCAATCTATACATTTAATAGAAATTCTATCAAAATATCAACAGCATATTTCACAGAACTCACCCTAAAATTTGTATGGAACCACAAAAGACCCCAAATAGTCAAAGCAATCTTGAATAAGAAAAGCAGAACTGGAGACATCACAATTCTGGATTTTAAGTTATATTACAAATCTATAGTGATCAAAACAGTATGGTACTGGCATAAAAATAGACACAAAGATCAATGGAATGGAACAGAAAACCCAGAAATGAACCCACAATAATATGGTCAATTAATCTTCAACAGAGCAGGAAAGAACTTCCAATAGGAAAAAGACAGTCTCTTCAACAAATGGTGTTGGGAAAACTGGACAGCTACCTGCAAGAGAATGAAACTGGACTACTTTGTTACACCATATACAAAAACAAATTCAAAATGGATTAAAGACCTAAATGTGAGACAGGAAACCATCAAAATCCTAGGAAAGAAGACAGGCAGTAATTTCTCTATCATTGATGGAACATTTTTTCTAGATAGGTTCCCAGAGGCAAGGGAAACAAAAGCAAAAGTAAACTATTGGGATTACATCAAAATAAAAACCTTCTGCACAGCAAAGGAAACAATCAATAAAACAAAAAGGCAACCTAAAGAATAGGAAAATATGTTTGCAAATTACATATCCAAAAAAGGGTTAGTATCCAAAATATATAAAGAACTGATACAACTCAACACCCAAAAAATAAGTAATCCAATTAAAAAATGGGCAGGAGACATGAACAGACATTTCCCCAAAACACATATGCAGATGGTCAACAGACACATGAAAAGATGTGCATCACCACTTATCACCAAGGAAATGCAAATCAAAACTACAATGAGGTATCACCTCACATCTCTGAGAATAGCTAAAACCAACAACATAACAACAGGTGTTGGTAAGGATGTGGATGTTGGTACAGCCACTGTGGAAAACAGTAGGGAGTTTCCTCAAAGAGTTAAAAATAGAATTACCTTATGATCCAGAAATCTCACTCCTGGGTATTTACCCAAAGAATACAAATACACTAATTCAAAGGGATACATGCACCCCTAGGTTTATAGCAGCATTATTTACAATATCCAAGGCATGCAGACAACCTAAGTGTCCATTGATGGATTGATGAATGGATAAAGAGGTGTATACACTTCTGTATATACCATATACAATGGAATATTACTCATCCATAAAAAAGAATGAAATCTCGGCATTTGCAACAACATGGATGATGCTAGAGTAATGCTAAGTGAAAAAAGTCTGTTAGAGAAAGACAAATACCATATGATTTCATTCATATGGAATTTAAGAAACAAAACAAAAAAAAAATAAGCAAAGTGGAAAAAAGAGAGAGACAAACCAAGAAACAGACTCTTAACTGATGGTTTTCAGAGGGGAATGGGTGAAATAGGTGATAGGGATTAAGGAGTATCATGATGAGCACTGGGTGATTGAAATAAACACTTAAAATAAAATAAATAAATAAAAGTTTTTAACCAAAAAAAAGCTTTGCTGTATGAATCTATAAAACATGACCATCTGAAACACTTCCCATCCTTCATGTAAGATACTGGCCAATTAAATCTGATGAGCTAAACTTACAGAATAAGATTTCATCAGGGGTATCTGGGTGGGTGGCTCAGTCAGTTAAGCATCCTACCCTTGATTTCTGTTCAGGTCATGATCTCACAGTTCAATTCGTGAGAACAAGCACCATGCTGAACTCTGCACTGACACTGAGGAGACTGCTTGGGATTCTCTTTCTCCCTCTCTTCTTTTTCCCCCCCCCCCCCCCCCCCCCCCGCTCATGTGAGCATGACCCCAGCACCTGCACACACTCTCTCTCTCAAAATAAATGAATAAACTTAAAAAAATATATATTTCATCAGTTCCATCCAATCTTAGGAATTGAATATACCCACTAAAGCAGTGATTTTCAAAATGTGGTACCTAGACCAGTAGAAAAAGCATCACCTGGGAATTTGTAAAAAGCCCTGCCCCAAACCCTCTAAATCAGAAACTCTGAGAACAGGACCCAGAAATCTGTTTAACAAGCCCTTTTGGTGATTTTAATGTATGCTAAAGTTTGAGAACCTCCTCTCTAAAAGAGTGACTGAGTCAAAGGAAGGACCTCCTTATAAGTTTTTAGGCTCTCTACCTTGGGTAGTGAAGTTCAATTGTTTTATTCACTTATTTGTTGTTTAATTTACATGAAGTTCAATTGTTTTATTTTTTTTTTTAATTTTTTTTTTTCCAACGTTTTTTATTTATTTTTGGGACAGAGAGAGACAGAGCATGAGCGGGGGAGGGGCAGAGAGAGAGAGAGACACAGAATCAGAAACAGGCTCCAGGCTCCGAGCCATCAGCCCAGAGCCTGACGCGGGGCTCGAACTCCCGGACAGCGAGATCGTGACCTGGCTGAAGTCAGACGCCTAACCGACTGCGCCACCCAGGCGCCCCGAAGTTCAATTGTTTTAGATAACAAGGTATTCTCTTCACTTCAGGAAAGCGAAGCAGAGCAGATGCATTCTACTTATCTCTGAATACTTAATTTTAATTAAAATAACTTTTAAAATATGAAATCAAGATTTATCGCCAATAAAACGTTAACAAACTAACTGCTTCAACTTTATACGTTTGTGCTGATGTTAACCATACTTTCATCAATAAGGTTAATTCTTAAAATTAGTGCAATTTGTAAGGCTTTATCTTCCACTAAAAACCAGACCCAAATATTTTTCCCAAGAGTCCTCTGGTTAATTCTATTTAATTCATTTGAAATTATTCATCTTTCACACAATTTTAACTAAGTTTGTTGAGGAAAATGGTAATGATTTATTAAATTACCTGTATATATAACTTTTCGATCCTGGTACTCAAAAAGAGACCTCTTCCTGTGCTTGTGTGTTTTTTCCCGAAATCTTACTGTTATTGCTACATTTGGATTGCCAGCACTATAATTGAGCTCAGGGAAAGATTTGGTTTCCACAAGGTTTCCAAACTTTTTGTTGACAAAATGGTGGACAGCTTTTCTGTGGTCTTTGTTTGTATCAGGTTTAAAAGTAAATTTGGAATTTTCTTTTTTTGCATCCAAATATTTAAAAAATTCAAATGCTTCTTCTTCAGATACCAAGTGACAGAGTTCCTTATATTCAAGATTTGGTTTTACAACAATCTCACTGTTTTTACCTACAGTTATTAAAAAAGGAAATTTCTGCCTAATAGCACTGTGCAGAATAGCCCTCTGGTTTTTGTCAAGGATTCTGCCTAATGAGAATTCAGGAGATGATCCAATTAGCTCAGTTTTAGAATTCCACTTCTCTTTTATATCACAGGCAAAGTGATTCAGTAGTTCGTTAGTTTTTTCATCCAACAAGGTACCTAAATCATCAACTGTTTGTTCTTCGCCTTTGGAAGTTCCATCACTGATAGTATCTTCCCTTTCTGAACCAGATTGATGATATTGATCAGCACCAGAGCACCCAGCAAAAATACTAACTTCTTGGTTGCTTCCCTCTTCAAAGGATAAATTCTGAAGATCAAGTTTTGTCTTTTTGGCAAAGTTATTTGGCTCAGGTAGTATTTTACTAATCAGTTTACTTGGTGCCGTATTAACTAATTGTCCCTGTTCATCAATCTCTATAACAACAAAATCACTTGGTGAGCTTTTTATAGTGCCACAAAATCCAACATGATCAGTAACAAAACACAAAGAACTAAACCGGATTCTAAAATCTGTATCCTCTTCCATTCTTAAATAACAATGCCTACAAAAGAAACAAAGAGGCAGTCAGTTACCCAAAAGAAAAGTTATAGATAACAAGAAAAAAATAAATTTGCAGGATTTATTTTTCTTTCTCCCTTTCAATCCTGGTCCCCTTAAAATACAAATTATTTCTATAAATAATGGGCATTTTGACTCTCCTATACCAAGATAAACTAATAGGCAAACTTTTTCTCATGAAACTGATGATTTGCAACATTTCTTTCACCCATTCCAAGCTTTCATCTATTATCCAGAATTAAAATGGGTCCGTTTCAAGTCTGCTTTAAAAATACCATGTGTAGGCCGACAAAGAAGAGACCAGAACACAGACTTAAACAATGATTTGTCCAAACCCCATTCCTGAAAATTTCTAACTTAATTCCAGAGAATTTGTGGCTAGATTTGTATATATTAGGGGTTAGAGATGAGAGAAGGGACTAGAAGACAGGAGGAAATAGTCCAAATTGATAAATGAAACTTGCAATGTGATTATGCTTCAAAACAGGCTTAAATTGGGGCGCCTGGGTGGCGCAGTCGGTTAAGCGTCCGACTT